AGGAACGCCTGGTCAATATCATGACTTTTACACCAACCGATTAAGCTCAATTTGGAGCATTTTGAGTTGGTGTAAAAATCATGATATTGATCAGGCGTTGCTCGTCCTTTCTATATAAGCTTTTTTCAAGAACATTTTCACGTTTTTGAAAAAACACGCGCAAACTTCTCCGATTGTCCAAAAACCAAAGGATATTACCCATGGAGACCCCAAACACGTGGAAAATAAGTAAATTGTAGGGTTTAATTGGAAAACGTTTGAAAAACATCAAAAAAGCAGAACCGAGCTGCTTATATATCATGCAAATGAGTACGAGGAACGCCTGATCAATATCATGACTTTTACACCAACGGATTAAGGTCAATTTGGAGCATTTTGAGTTGGTGTAAAAATCATGATATTGAACAGGCGTTGCTCGTCCTTTCTATGTAAGCTTTTTTCAAGGAAATTATCACGTTTTTGAAAAAATACTCGGAAACTGCTCCAATTCTTCCAAAAACAAGGGGTATTCCCCATGGAGACCCCCAGCACGTGGAAAATGAGTAATTTGCAGGGTTTAATTGGAAAACGTTTGAAAAACATCAAAAAACCAGAATCGAGCTGCTTATATATCATGCAAATGAGTATAAGGAAACCTTGTCAATACCGTGACTTTTACACCATCGGATTAAGCTCAATTTGGAGCATTTTGAGTTGGTGTAAAAATCATGATATTGACCAGTTGTTCTCGTCCTTTCTTTATTAATGCCTTTTTTGTCAAATAAGGGAAGATGGGAAAATGTTTGTCTTTTGGCAAGTTAATGTTTTGAGAGAGAAAGAGAAGTTGGAAGTAGATTTTCTGGTATAGTATTCTTTTTAATCTGACATATATGTAAAGATTTTTTGAAGGTTTATTAACTATTTATGATCAAATAAAGTGAAGAAGTGTTTGTGGTATGTAATGTTTTAAATTGTGTTTTGTTTAATTAAAAATTGGACTATTACAGAATTTAGAATTTTATTAAGCCTATTTATCATTGTTGTTATTTAATCTTTTATGAGTCACTTTTCCTACCCTTTGTAAATTTTAGACATATCTTTTGTGAGAAAGTTAAAATAACTGAGAGAAATAACATAACATATTTTGATTGAGTGCTTTTGGAATTTGCTATGTTGATACAGATTTTTCTGCAATGATGGCGGACAAGGAAGTAAGTCCATAAAGCAGCTGGCTCCTTATTTCCTTTCTTCCTAAGCAGACAAGTTAATAAACCAATTACATCCATGGAGATAAACCTGTGTAAGGTTCTTCCAAGAGCATTGGAATCACTGAGCTAGACGTTGAACTACTCAAAGTCAAGCATCAAGCTAATAGACCATTCACATCAAAGGTTCCCATCCACTATGCATGTTCTTCCGAGAATATCGGATCAGTTGATCTATGAGACTTTCACTTTTATCCACCACAGATAACCCAATCTCAGGTTCTTAGCATGTATGTTGCCATTTGGATCAAGATACAGACATTTTTGATGTTTTTGATGGGGTGTAATTCAATTGTTGTTCTTATGGCTCATCCTTGTGTCATTCCTGTTGGAAAAATGAGTTCCAGTTAATTTCAAGAATTGAAAAAGGAATTTTGTGCTGAAAGTAAAAACTAAATTGTTCAATTTTTTTGATAAGTACAAGGGCATCAATGATTAACATGATGATAATGATAAAGATGATGAAAATGGTGATGATGACTGAGGATAATGATGATAACAGTGAAGATATGAATAAAAAATGATGAATGATGAATGATGATGATAATTACTGATTGATTATGATAAAAAAAGATAAGAAGATAATGTTGTTAATTATGTTGATAACTGTTAATGGTGAAGGCAGTCACGGATGAAAGGAGTCATGGACGAATATGGCCAAAAATAGTGAATGATGGTAACAGCGATGATGATAAAGATTATGACAAATACTGAGTAATGCAGAAAAAAAGGCTATTCGGTTTGGTACTCAACATACCTAGGTTATGTAAGCAGGGTTGGCACCATAGAGCTTCTATCTTGCAGTCTACACCTACTCTCGTGGGTACCAAATGACGTCCTCTTCATCTTCTATTAAGAAAGTTAAAGATCATCATACCGAGACAAAACTTGTCAAGGATTTGGAAGAGAACCTTTGATACACAAATAACACAAAACTGTATCAATTACCTAATTTTAAGCCCTGCATTTTTGCTTCAACACTAGCATAAGCCTGGTTATGCTAAAATGCATGGTTTATATGTAGATGTGATGTCCATAAAGTGGTTAGGTAAACTGGGATGAGGTGAATGGGTATCATGTCTGCGTAGGGTGGATGTGATGTGGGTCAAGTGATTAGGTGAAGGGGATAAGGTGGATGGTTGTCATGTCTGTGTAGGGTAGGTGTGATGTGGGTCAAGTGGTTAGGTGAAGGGGATGAGGTGGATGGTTGTCATGTCTGTGTAGGGTAGGTGTGATATGGGTCAAGTGGTTAGGTGAAGGGGATGAGGTGGATTGTTGTGATGTCTACGTAGGGTGGATGTGTTGTGGGTCAAGTGGTTAGGTGAAGGGGATGAGGTGGATGGTTGTGATGTCTGCATATGTTGGATGGGTCAAATGGTTAGGTGAAGGGGATGAGGTGGATGGTTGTGATGTCTGCGTAGGGTGGATGTGATGTGGGTCAAGTGGTTAGGTGAAGGGGATAAGGTGGATGGTTGTCATGTCTGCATAGGGTGGATGTGATGTGGGTCAACTGGTTTGATGAATGGGGATGAGGTGGATGGGTGTGATGTCTGCGTAGGGTGGATGTGATGTGGGTCAAGTGGTTAGGTGAAGGGGATGAGGTGGATGGTTGTCATGTCTGTGTAGGGTAGGTGTGATGTGCCTTCAAGTGGTTAGGTGAAGGGGATGAGGTGAATGGTTGTGATGTCTGCGTAGGGTGGATGTGAAGGAGTCAAGTGGTTAGGTGAAGGGGATGAGGTGGATGGTTGTCATGTCTGTGTAGGGTAGGTATGATGTGAGTCAAGTGGTTAGGTAAAGGGGATGAGGGGGATGGTTGTGATGTCTGCGTAGGGTGGATATGATGTGGGTCAAGTGGTTGGGTGAATGGGGATAAGGGTGTGATGCGATTGCGGAACGAAACGAAATGAAATATTTGTGAATGTATGCACAAATACCTTAAAGTGTAGCGTCTTTTTGTTTCCTTTTATTGCTCTCTATAGGTCATCCATAGGAATATTTACGTTCGCCATACGCAAAATAGGCCGGGACTGAGTTCCCAGTCCGATTGTACATGTAGCTTTTCAACCGCTCTTTATAGATCAATAAAACACGTTATACTACGGATTGCCTTCTTTATTCCCACTCTTATAGCGAACGATACTTTTTGCCATATCTCTTGAACAAGAGGAATAACTTGATAAATAATGCTTTTTCCTTGGTAATCGCCATTTTGAATACCACAGGAGCCCCATAATGATCTCATGCAACACAAAGGGAGCCCAACATAGGAACGTACACGATAGTGCACTCACGTCTCAATAAATGACCTTCCGACTTCTCCAGGATTGTTATCGGGAGTCCAGCTTAATGTCAGAGACTTTTTTGTTTTTGAGAATATTAATTTCGCATATTCATGTTATGATTTGAATTAGCCTGCGTAGTGGCGCTCTTGGGGAGGGGGGAGGGGACCTCCCTTTCTCTCATTACCCCTCCGCAATTCCCTAGAGCGCCGCTACGCAGGCAGGCTAGATATGGATCATCAGTTTTATCATACACGAACAAACAACTTACGTAATTTAGTAAATAAAAAGTATATTTGTTTGGAATAAAAGTTTATATGTTTCATTGTCGGTGCATTTATCCTTTCATTATTTATGTGTTGGGCTCCCTTTGTGATACATGAGTTCATTACTGTCTAGTTCAGACGCTGTAACCTCTCCTTTACCGCTCGCAGGAAACCCAAAAACAAAAGCGGAGCGGCAAAGGATGGGGTACAGCGTCTGGACTAAATACTGTCAAGCTACGCCCGTGTGTTAGTAAAACCCCAAATAACCGGGCCGGCCACTCCTCGAAAATGCATCCCTAGCAAAGTAACCCAGAACTATATACACAATGATTAATTACTTTTAATAACTTTTCTCCAATACAATCAATGTCACACGACTTATTAATAAAAAGATTACTTACCAAATGCAGTAATGAAGTAGAATCAGGCATGGGCAAAAAGTAGTCTGGTTCTAGACTCACCTTTTCGGAGAGGAGTCGGCGGCAAAATAGACCATTTTCGACTCCGTTCAAAACCATCAAAACCGAACATTTCATTGTTTGTCAATGAAGCTTGGAAACACATGTTGTCAAAGCTCTCTCTTGTATTACACAAGGATAGAGCAATATTGATGCCGTTATTATTACTTTAGAAAAGTGATTTTAATAATGTAAAAAAATCAATATAAAAAGTGAACATTATTTAGTTTAGGTCTATCTTTATATGTAATAGGACTCCATGCTGTCCAATTAAGAAATAATTGGACGAGGAATATTCCGAGGACTGACAAAATTGGATGAGGCCGTAGGCCGAGTCCAATTTGGCAGTCAGAGGAATTTATTTCTTGATTGGGGAGCTTGAAATCCCATTACCTATTAATTATATAGCTGCCTAATTAATCCCATATCAACAGACCTGTCCAATTGAGAAAATAATTGGACAGTTACCTATATGGGATTAATGAGAAACTGTATAACTAATCTGTTTATAAACTGATTTCATTTTCCCATTCCTGGTTGGCCGTATTAAATACTGCTTGCTTCTTTACTCACGTAGTTATCCGCTGTACTACATGACCAGTCACTCAACCATCTTTTTTTCAAAATAACTTTGCTTTCCGTAGTAGATTTTGCAACTGCCAATCTTGTTTTTTTACTTGTACTTACACCGTCCTCATAGCTCTGACTTACAGCACCAGGTGAATTTGGACGGCTTGTCTTATTTTTGACAACAGAATTATCTTCCTTCGCGGGCGCACGAAGCCCGAACGGTTGGAAATCTGAGCCTATGTCTTCCTGGGCTTCATAAAATTGCTCTTCATCAACCCAAGCCTGTCTTTTCAGCTTGGCAAGTTTGCTTTCTTGTTGCGCCACCAATTTTCTCAGAAGTTCAATCCTCTTTCTTCTTTTTTCCTTTGGGTGGTCGATGATGCTCTCTTTAACAGTTTTTATCTCTTCCTCTTGTTTCGGATTGTCTTTCTTACACTGTCCAATATCGCTGTCCTGAGGTCTTTTAGACTTGACGTAGTTTTTTACAATGCACACCAGCTTATCGACGAACAACTCATCGCTGTTTTCACCCCAGCGTTTATTGTATTCTTTCCATCCGATTTCGTGTTCTGGACTACTAGAAAAATCCCTTTCCTTTGGCTCAAGACTAGTTACTTTTTCGCGGGGAATGTTCTGGAATGTCTGAGAAAGGTCGCCATTCTTCATGTCTTGTCCATGTTCATTTACATCAGCATTGCTTTTGTAATCTTTTTCGTCTTCATTGCTGTTTATCAGGCTTATACCACGCTTTTTTCTCACCGACTCGCTTTCTTGCCTTTCAGTTCGACAACAGGATTTTTTTCTGTTAAAGTCTTGATGTCTCACGCTTGTCTCATCCAGATCACGTTTGGTGTAGTCAGTCCGATGAATCTTCTTCTGTAGGCCCTCTTGATGATTGTCTTCGTTCTTGGACTTCACCTGATGGCTCTCATCTACACCTGCCAACTTAGACTCGCCTATATTACTTTCAAGTATCGATGAACTTAAGTTATCAAACCACTGGCAATATTTGGTCAATACATCATTCTCGTTACGCGTTTCTTTTGGATTAATCTTGTGTTGGGGAAAATACTTGGTACGCCGAGTATTAGATGGCGAGACGCTACACAGTGCAGGAGAGTTTGGTATTCTATTAACGCTTCGACTAACTGGACCCACGGGAACTATAAAAGGTGAACTAGCTCTCACTGAATTGCCTGAATGGTATGAATGAATTAAGCTCGTGGCGTTGGGCAACCTAAGGGCTTTACCACCATATAACTGACTTTCCAAATGTGAGATTGAGTGGGTTGTCCCAGACATACTACTGCGCATGCTCTTCGACAGACCACGTGAAGAAAATGGTTTTGGAGCCGAGTACATGTGTCTCAGATGATCCTTATTCACCCAGTCAGGTCCATAGCCCAGAAGGTTCTCCAGATCATAGCTTTGCATTTCTCGCAATCTTTTTCTCAAAGGGTGATGAAAACCTGCTATCAGAGGTCGTTTACCATGTTGTACTGTCGTGGGAAGACTGGTGCTTGAATCGTCGATGTGGTAATGTCTTCTGTTGGAGCTGTCCATCAAAATAAATGACACATGAATCTATATACCTCGATTGATACCAAACACGCACTGTAGACTACCTATACGTGATGCTACTACAAGAGATAGAACCTGACACTAAACGTGCTAATATCTCAATCGCGCGCAAAATACGAATTCGCTTTTTTTTATGTCGACGACATAGGATACCATAGGGAAATTATACAGGAATACATATGCTTGCCAAAAAATTTGTACCTTTTTTCATTCTTCTTTAATTATGGCGGACATTATCGCGTTTTTCTTCCCGCAAAGATATTTTTGCAACTTGTTTTCGCAATTCACTAAATTTAGACAACTTTTCGATTTTTGACTGACGTTTCACGTTTGTCGTACTGAAACGTAGAATAGCGAAAGTCCCAATTTGTGTGGAGGGGAGAGTGGCATTTTTCGTAATGAACTCGCAAACAAAAAAAATGACGGGAAACATGTAGTTGTTTAAGGATTTGCTGTCACCCCCCAAAATTCTCTCTCTTCATTCGAGTTTTTTCCGCAGGTTTTCCGGTTGTYCTTCTTTCGCCAAACTTCAACTAAATTCCTATTTGAACTGCGGGCATTGACTTTGATTAGCCCAGAGGTTGTTTCAGTCGATCTGTGAGTTCGCCGTGCTTTAACTTTGATTAGCCCAGAGGTTGTTTCAGGGTTCGATCTGTGAGTTAGCCGTGCCCTGACTTAGATCATCCCCGAGTTTGTTTCAGGATTCGATCTTTGAGTTAGCCATGCCCTGACTTTGATCAACCTAGAGGTTGTTGCAGGGTTCAATCTGTGAGTTCGCCGTGCTCTAACTTTGATTAGCCCAGAGGTTGTTTCAGGGTTCGATCTGAGAGTCAGCCGTGCCTTGCCTTAGATCAAAGCCGAATTTTAGAATGAAAATTTACCCAACCTTGCGCCTCCTCCACCCGTTGCGTCAGTACACGTCAGTTAACACAAATGAATGGTAGGAAACTGCACCTGCCACACAGCAGCTTTGTTTACTGACACCATGAAAATATTACCGTACAGACACAATGACTATGAAAATTATAAAAACACGAAAAACAAAAAAATGTTTTTAGAAAATTCCTACGGTAATTCATGCAATTGAGCTCAAAGAAATATTTCCGTTAAATTGAGAATTTTCGTGAAGGCTTTTGTAAGTTGACTTCAGGTACATTTTTTGCGGTCCTTTCTTTACAATTAATCACGGCTTCAGCTGACGATAATAATGAAAAGTAAGCGAAAACTATCGTATAATCTTGGATTCAAATCTGCCAAGAAGTAGTCCTAATTAGACAACATAATATTTAAAACATTTCTTGAGACCCAAGAATTTTGTTTCGTCTTGAATATAACAGATTAAAGTTTGTAATTTTTGGAAAGGTCCGGCCTGTAATACTGACTCACATCAAGCATGACTAAAGCAAACTTTAATTTCAATAAATAGAGTTAAAACTCACCATGTTGAGTATTCGTTCAGGCACTGCACTCTGATAACTTCCACTGGCAAATTGAACCGATTCTGATATGTGTCTTGACCGTTAATTATCCTTCCTAAAGCAAACTGACCTTTATATGCCATCATTTGAGTATCAACTGAGGTTAGAAAGAGTCCAGTTCATATTCTTAGGCTAAATAACTGTTTGTCTGGTAGAGCAGAGGTCGGGCTATAACATCGACAACTGGACTCGTTCACCAATTGGTTTTACAGCTCGTCTCCTGTCGCGCTGGACGCACAACCATAACCAAATCAATATCTAAATTAACAAAGCTCTTGCGATTCTAAGCATTGATGGTCTTCACAGTATGCGACTCCCAAAGCGAATACTAAAAATAAAAAAACAATGACAGACCCGTCTTCCGGGCTTAGAACTGGAATTATAAAACAAGGTGGCTATTCAATATGACAAAATAAATTTTCGGGTTATTTTAATTATCTTTATTTTTATTTGAATAATTTATTTCTTTATAATACTAAAATTTGAAGTTTTAACTTAGAAAGTAAAAAGCCGGTGCTCGTAATCAATAGATCTCCTCAGTTTCTATGTTTCTTTTTGGATTAAATGGTAAGAATGGTAAAGAGTTTCGACCTGTTTGAACTCAAACTTTTGCTCTCAGTTGTATTCGTGAAACAAATTCAAGATGTTCAAGAAATAACCTCATGCACGACCAGCCATCCAAGTTTTAAACGCACGGTAAAAAAGCAAAAAATGAAAGGAAAAAAGGATTCCTAGCTTGCACCCGTTATGACCGACAAGAAAAGCTGGTAAATATACGAATCAATGTAATAAGCGGTGATAACTCGCTTCTGAATAACAAATATTAACAGTTAAAATGAAATAAGTTTTGTCAAGATTTGTTTTCGGATTGGTATTGAGAATTTGGTTAAAATTATTTATTCAGTTAGGGAAGACAAATAGCATCGTGCTGTTATGTTACACTGGCATTGAGCTTTGATCTACCAAAAATAAGCTTCTGGAGCAAGCGAAAGGATATATTATATACTTCTTCTGGGAGAAAAAAGATGATTGAAGATGCGAAATGTCGTAAGACAGAACGAGGACTGACTAAATAATCCCAGATGATAAGATGCATGGCCATGCATCTCTGTTTCTTAAGTGAACCAGCGTGTATTCTATTACCAAACAGCACTGATAATGCAAGATGTTATGGGGGCTACTTTCCTGCAGAGCTGAGAAACATTTTAGCCAATCAGAATCGAGAAAAGTTGCAAAACTGAGGTGTCACTTTTCCTCTCGAAGTTATGGATTTCCAGGCCACCAAATAATCAAGAAAACTTGCTAATAAGCGCTCGATAACCAGTGTAGCGGCACAATAATTATCGTGTTTTAATTTTTTTTAAATTTCTAATGCAATGTCGGGCATGTTTTTATTTTTGATTGGTCAACTTTCGCAGGCTTCATATCACCCGTTTTCTCAGATCAGCTGGTTATAACTCCTAAAACTTTGGATCACATTTTTGCCCCAGATGGAATAGTTGTCGAACTAAGGTTCCAACACGTCTAAGTTAATTCAACTACCAAAGAATTATTAGTCGAAAACTGGGGGATACTTACCCGATGCACTGCATGAAAAGGGGGCGTTCGCCATCGAGACAGATTTAACTTAACTACCAATTTTCCAGTCACTTCGAAAGTTGTGGGATCCCCTCTACCCTGCATGAAACTGAGACGTTCGTTATCGAGACGGACATCGTGGCTCCAAAGCTGTTTGTGAGAAGCAGGGGTTCGAGAACACCCTAAATGCATTGAGTTAAAAGCAACTAAGTGAAAATGCTGCTGCTAAATTCATTAATTTATATATTAATGTATTCATTCTTTAATTTATTCATTAAGTCATTTTTCAATCAATCAATACATCTATTTGTTCTCGTGAATAATTTGAAAAGCAATAGTGTGCAGCCATGTGACTCAAAATCCCTTGAGATATGAACAATGAAACAGCCGCCATGTTGGTTGATCTAAAAAGAAAAGCTAATGGGAATGCTTTGTTATCGTCAACCAAGATGGCGGCAATGACGTAACATGCACCTTGTTTCCACATAAGAAAACATAATGAGAACGAATCTTTTCTCTCATTATTACTCTTACCTTGCTCCCTCGTCCTCGTCCTCGCCCAATGCCTCTCTCTAAATATATCACACAGGGATGACCACATTTCGAAACACACCTGCTCTATAGAAAAACCCTATGGTTTGAACAAGGCTACGTCAATGACATGAAAGAACAAATAAATGGAATTAATATGCTTAAAGAGTCATTATAGAGTACAAGGCTATACAAGTTAATTAGTGTAGTATCTAAATGCATTGATATTAAAGATTATAATAAGTTCGAAATCCAAAAAGATGAATCAGTATTTAGATATTTCACCTCTAGTCACTCTAGTCACTGTAGATCAAATATCCTTTGTAATTTTTTTGAAAGTTTTCATCCGTGATCAGGAATCGAAATGTTTATATGTAAGCATTCAAAAATGTTGAGAAAAAAAGTTGGTAAAAAAATTTTTAACATGACTCCGGACTGGAATTTCCAGTTTAATCTCTTGTTGAAATCCATTTAATATTTCAACAAAAAAATTTTTTTTTCGCGTCTATGTCTGAATTTATTTAGTTTTGAAAAAAATCATAAATTCAAGTAACAAAAATATTATTTAGTCCTTTTCGTATTTTCACGGATTTTGTTAGTTGCCATGGTAACACGTCGTGTCCAGCGGTTTATTGTTACAGTGTCTTCTTTTTCTCGCACTCTGATGTGAAAAAGATTCGGACTTGAGTTCTCCATCTTGTTCGGTGTGTATTTTAACATTTACGAGGTTTACTGGCGAATGGCAGTTGTCATCCTGTAAGGCAACGACCACCAAATAATCATGTGATAAAGTAACAAAGTGCTGATAATGAATATATTTGAAACTGGTATTATCTCTTCACGATTCATATTCTGATAAGGACTATAGTCACTAGTTGAGACTCTGTTGGTGTCTAACTATGCTGACCTTAGTCTTTTGTCGAATTAAAAGAAAAATACTGATTTTTCATATTTTCGTTTGCGTCTTTGAAAATTTTGATTTGATCAACTTTGGCTCAGTAATCTATTTTCATTTGAAAATACTATATTGAACTACCAATGCAAAGTAAGGCTGATAAATTCAATTCCCAACCTTTTAATAGCGCAGCGCAACCGTGACGTCATAAAAACGAAGACAAAGGCGAAATTCGGACAAACAAATTACAAGTTTACTTTCAGCAGATAATTTTCACAGCCGATCGCAGTTGATCTTAGTTTACGTGGATATTATTGTATCTTTAAGTAAAAATAATAAAATCGGTTCGTATAATCCGCGTAGCGGTTAAACAGAATGCAATGTTTGTCCGAATCTTTAAGCTATTTTTAGAATCAGTGCGCTGCGCTATTCTAATTTGAACTGTTATCAATCATACCACATATATTTTTAATAACTTTACCTCCAAAGTTATACTTTTCTTGAAAAGAGGGTTCCTTGTTTTTACACATTTCGACTTTTTCGGCGTATTTTTGTTGCCTAGAATATCCTTAACAGCCTTGATAATTTCTTCCCTCGTTTCAAGACGGCCGACATGATAGTCGTCTTGTGCTGGGCATTCACAACACTCTCCTTTGACAAAATATTTTTCTTTCTCAAACTTTGTAAGAAGACTACAATTCCGTGAAGACATGATATCTTAAGATTCTGCTATTGTTCTTCGTTTTTTTTGACAAGAGAACTCTGGTTTAACGAGTTTCTGATTATAAAATATCGATTACATTGAATTTGAAATTCGCAATACGCGTAAATACAAACGTGTCGAGCGGCGCGCGCGCATTTCTGTTCGCCACAGGGAGCCCACTTAAAATATAACATAATAAATAAAAGAACTGTACGTAAAAAAATACAAACTTGTAACCAGAGTCCTCCAGTGCCTTTTTTCTTTGTCGTCAACACCAGGTAAGGGAAGCTTTCCCGCGCAAGCCCGCTGACCATAAATCCGGAGGACTCTAGTTGCGAGTTTGGTAAAAATCGGAAAGTTGCAAACCAATCTCGTCCCTGAGCCTGCGCTTCTTTTGCTCAACACAATGGGCACAGTAATTAGTAATCATTGTTTTTTGTTACTGAATTTTCTCGTTTCATTAAATCAGTTTCTATTTGTGATCAACAGGGAGCACTTACCGTAGTCTGCGCATGCAACAAATCACTTTCACATACTTACTGCGCATGCTCGATGAAATTTCCCCCAGCGCAGTAAGAATAACAGAGTTATTGGCAACAGATCTTGATCAGCTTGATCTTGCTAGCCAAGACAAACCCAGGCTCTGGGAAGGAGATTGAGCTTTGTGTTGAGATGGGCACCACATCAAAAGAATAGAAAATGGATCGGACGATATAAGACAAAAATCGAAAGAGATAAAAATTATCTATCTTACTAATATTGAAAATGTGTAAACAATCCAGCCTCAACATTTAAGTATTCCTGATAAAACAAAAAAGCAAAAATAAATGAAATTCGCTGCGAGTAGGGTTCGAACCTACGCGGGAAGATCCCATTGGATTTCAAGTCCAACGCCTTAACCACTCGGCCATCGCAGCTTTACATATATTTCATTCCCCTTTTAATTAAGTCCTCAATTACTAATCCTGTTCTATCCATACCTTTATTTACATCTGATAGCCGACTCTTTAAGATGTAGCCCGGAGAAACGTGATCAAACATAACAACATAATTGTATTTTTCCTACACAGAGTATGTAGATATAACCCACGAGGAGACTGAAGAAATACGCGAGGCGGCCGACCGACGAGTCACAAGTAACATCTTAAAAAAGCAAAAATAACTGATAGAGAATATCATGATTTTCGGCGTCAACTAAGCTCAAATGCAAGCCCTCAAGCGGTTTTTACTTATGTGCACATATGAAGCCATTAAACACTTGTCTCTCAAAAGCTAATAAGATAGATTTTAATTTGATATACATAACCCTATACAGGGTTCATCAGTTTTGTATGTGGATAGGATTTGTTTATAGAGAAAAGTTGATCATTCTATATCAAAAAACATTCAATAAACACGCCAGTTCAAAAGAGAAGCTTTGAAGTTTCTTGCGGGATCCATAGCCCAATTCCACCTGTCAAAAATCTGATGAAAACGTTTTTTATAATGCCCCTAAGGGATACTATCACGACTCTATTCATATCGGTCGTGTTTTTTAATATAAAATGACCTAAGTAAAACCATATATGAAGAAAGATTAAATGACTTGCCAATATTAATTGAAAAAATTAAAGAAACACTGCGAGTATGGTTCGAACCTACTCGGGGAYATCCCATTCAAGTCCAATGCCTTAACCACTCGGCCATCGCAGCCAAATTGTCTCAAAAAAACACATTAGTTTGAAGAAAAACTAATTTATTTATCCCATTTATTTGAGATCAGTACCTAAAGTACAAACCTATTAGACAATGGAATGAATATATAAGTTCAAGAACTTTCGAATTCTAGCCGACGAAACCATGAATGACGCCGATTCACGCCTCTTTACAAATCGTTCAAACTGTGCCTCGACACGATTGAAAACCTTAGTGCGTTTGTTTGATACGCTAATAATGAAAAGATAAGTAGAAATCTATTTCTAAATCGCATCAAGATCATCAATAAGATTATGTAGTCTAGCACCAAGAAGGGGCTACAATTCCAGCAATCTGATTGGCGTTGCTATAACGACATCGCGTAGAAAAGGACGTTGATCACAACCTATTGAAACTGAAAGAGCTAAGAATCCTTTTAACTGTAAAATAAAATTGTAATAGAAAATGAAGAAGAGGAATAACAGCCACTACGGTTGTTTTAATTTTTTATTTATTTCAGTAACAACAACCGACTGAATATACTTGAGCCAACTAACGCAGGACATCTGGTCAAATTTAATTTCTATTAATTTTCGTTGAATAAAGGATTGAAGTTTTAATTCTACAAACGGTACTGCAGTTATCCGCTTAACGGAACTGAGAGTCTATATATTATTATAGGTGAATATGACTGACAATATAAAGGCAACCGACTTACTTGAAAGAAGGAAGTGGCATGTTGACTGAAGTCGATCGAGTCGCGAGAAGTGCAGTCAACCGGCTTTCTAGGATGATCACACAGCATTAAAGTTAATATTTAATTCCAAGTGAAGCACTAAATGAAAAGTATCTTTCCCCTGAATTTGAAATCTTAAAATAATTACTACTTCATGAGTTCTTTTAATTTGAAAAAAAAATTCGAGTTTTAATTAACACGTTTAGAAACCTATTATTTGCAAAGAGTTCGGTCGCTTTCTTTTAAGTTCAACTTTGACTAATGAAAATTCCGAAGAATACAATGATAGGAAAGGAAATAAACTTAAAACAATGACAATGAAGGTAGTAGGTTTCTGGCGAATCCTACGAAAAAATTAAAAGGGCAGCTTCTTTAAAAACTTCTTTTAAAACGGAAATATTATATTTGAATGTCTCGGGCGTATCGCCTCTTTTTAGATAACGCTAGAGCACCTCATGGGAAGACAAGAAGGATTAAAGTAACGCTCAACATCCTTGTGCTTTCAAAGCTGAGGACTAAAATGTCTCTAAGGAAGAGCACACGGCGGTAGACAATTAGAGAAAAACCGGCGCTAAAAGATCGTCAGATAAGATTTGGATACTTAAGTTTTTTCTTTTTTTATCTGGACGTTAGCTACTTTTACGGTAGCAATCGCTATTCCTAATACCAAAGTAGTCGCTAATGAAGGGGATTTGACTTAACTGACACTTTATCGCTGAATATTGGCTGACTCCCAACCAACACTTTAACGAGGCCATTAATAAATTGACCCACTTACGAGAAAACGATTCCTCGTAATTTGTTTGATTCTTAGAACAAATGCTTACGATGAAACCAAACAGAGTTGGTTTGTATACTATCAAATGGTGTTTTCTTCTCGTCAAATCTATCCCTACAGAGTTTCGGATGTACGGGATTTTAACGATTTATAAATATACAGACAATAAAGTTTTCATTATTATTTTCAAGGACATGATTTTACTTACGCAAGGTAGAGAAAGACATCAAAAGTGAGTAACAGGAGTGTTGTATCCTCGTTGTTCTTTTTCGGTGAATTATCTAGATGCAACAATGCCATAAGACCTAGAAAAGAATCGTAAAAATCCGTTTAGAGGAATGGAATTACTCCTGTCTTTGTTTATTGCATTGTCTTTACGAGGGGTATAATATACCAAACGACCACATGCAGTTCAACAGTAAATGTTTCTAAAATAATACTACAATGTATAGAGTAACAGTTGCTGGAGCACTCAAGCTACCATGACTAAGACACAGTCCCAAAAAGCTTTGGTTTGAACACCACTTAGAGAAATATCAGCTAGAGATGAAACATTATTTTACTTAAATGAAAACATCATCATAGGAAATTCGTAAAAAGACAAAATGTGGGCGTTATATTGGTCGTAAGAGATGAAGAATTTCACAATAATATATTGCAGTGCTATATTTAAATAGCCCATCCCGTTTTATTCGTCTTCAGGCAACTAAAATAAAGAATGAGTTCGTTCATATACAAGTACAAGAAGTCTCTAAGTTCACTTCTTGAGCCAAGGACAGTTCAATATAGGTTTACTCAACATAATAAAAATAATGATGATAATTTCCTATTCGATCTTTTTTGTTTGTTTCTTAAAATCTTTTGCTTTCATCTTCAAGATTTTTCTAAGGTTGATTGAACGAGTCACACCCGCCCTCTATGCTCTAAATTGTACGTAACTTGTCTCGGAACACGTCAACTTAGATCTGTAATTTAACAACATAATAGGACAATTCATTTCCAAAATTATCAGGATTTTTCAAGACAAAAGACGCTTGATGAATCAAAATCGAGCGAATTAAAGACATCTGGTTGTGAAACCCGATAAAAGACACCGAGATAAACACACCGTCAGAATTAATGTGTGACTCAGACTTTTCTTCCTGTTTGCAAGTGTTTTTTTCCATTCTTTTCCGTTTTGGAAGTTTTTCATTATGTAAACCATAAGAATGAAAAAATAATAATTTTAGTTAAAAGTATACACTCTTAGTTTGACGTTTTGGAGTTAAATTAGATCGATTAAACTGCTGAGGTTCGAGTTTAAAGTTGTCATAGTAAATGGATGTGAAAGATTTGATTGCTGGAGGCACTGAAAACGCGTTGAATACGAATGGCCAATACTTGAATAGGTCCGGACAGGAATCAAAGATCAATTGCTTATCAGATAAATGTCATGAACCATCTGAAGACAAGTAGCTTCCTTTTATCGTGTACGGAAAGTCACGGCGGCAATCCAGGAGTATTGTTTAGAGCATGAATGACATCTTACTCAGCAGGTTGACTGGCTGTGACTGACTCGGCGTCGGTGGATTCGCTGATACAAATACAATATAAATAGAGCGCCAGTACGTAACTATCATCATTTAGTACTGACCAGGAGCCAAGCCTGACACTTCCATTCACATACATCATCCCAAAAAACCAAAGACGTCTCTAGTGAAATCTAGTAGTAAGCTAAACGGGTCAGACTCGACATAGTGGACCGACGTAACCGCAAGGAAAAATCAGTTAATCTTGTGAAGACAGACACGACAGACAGCCGCTAACACGTTAAGGTAAAAGACAGTCGCTTCTATTTATTCTTTTTAATTAACTGTATATATTTGAGATGCTAGTCTTGGTTTTGATGTCAGAATTCTACAGCGCTGTTTGTTTCATAGCTTATAAAGGTTCGCAGTTGGGTTGGTTATCATGTCATTCAGAACATGGAACTACCTGAGTAACTTATTTCAAACGTATAGTGAAAGTGAGCGAAAACAACTCCCTGTAAAACACAATACGACTGAAGCGAAAAATGACAACTGAAGTTGTATAACAGTGGTAAGGAGTATTCAAGTGGTCAAGCCCCTTACTTTCACTCGAAGAACGTCAAATTGAGTGCTTTCTTTGTTTAGAAACTTTTGTACAAAAGAAGCTTTTATACCATTAAAAAAAATGAAAGATACATTTACAAAGAAAACGATAATCATATCATATCACTTAAGTTTTTCTAAATTTGATRTTCCAAGATTCCGGTTAAGAATAAAATCAAAGTGAAACAATCTTGCTGTTATGAAAATATCTTAATTTTTCCGTCCTTTGCGAGGAACGAGCTTTAAAGTTAAATTTCAAGAGCATGCAAAACAAACCAAGACGAAGAGATCAAAACATAAGATTAGTTGAAAAGCAGGAGGAAAAATCATTAAAAAATAGCTTTTTAAAAACAATTAATTGACGTCATTTTATGGACGGCATCAAACGTGGAAATTTTTTCAGTGTAATTATACAATCTGGAAAAAAAGACCCAACGCAAAGGAAAAGTGTTAAAAGATAACGAATACAGCTGTTAAGAAAAGTGTGGGGGGAAAAACGTAATATAAGCTAATCCTGATTCATTTTTGTTACATTCCCTGATGCTTTAAAAGTTAAAAGTTTAAGTGCTTGTGAGAAACATCGTTACTGCTGTAGTAAAATATTTGACTCTTAGGGAAGTGCAGAGATTTCAATATTGGAACTGAGCTAACCATCCGCAAAATTGATCCGTAAAGTGGGTGAGCAAAAAGCTTTTAAATGAAGCAATCACCATTTGATTCGTACTTAGTGAAACGTGTTTGGATATTGATGATAAACGAGTGCATTAGTAGCTTAAAACATGGGTTTAAAAAGAACCTTTTATGTGTTGCAATAAGCCATTACTTGGTTTTCTACTCATAGTCAATCAAAGAAATCGTGTTTTCGCGTATTTCCAAATTTCCACATTTCCATTTCATTCGTTTTCCCGATCATTCACATTCACGTATTTCAATAATTTTAAGACTGAATGTTGTCGAACAGTGGAAGAGGAGCCATTCTTTGAACCAATGTTATAGTACGACTATACCAACCAAGGCCACCACCCAGACAAATTTTCATWCAAATTAGCCAATCACGATTGAGTATTTAAACAATAGAATCTGCACAAAAATTCACATTTTTCCTTTAAAAAGCATATATTTTGCTTTATATGAGTTATGTGCTTTATGTATGATCAGGTAGAATTCGCCACCATCCTGTTATGTTCAGCGTACAAAACCTGATTTGTGAATTTGATTCAAAATTTGAGTGACCTTCGTAAATGTAGTGGCACTGTAGTTTCCATTTATTACTTAACAATTATTAGGTGAATATCGGGGAATATTTACCGAGACGCGAGTCTTCGAGCGGCGAGGTAAATCAGTATTCTCCGATACTCCGGTGATTATATTCATTATGGAGGTGATTATCGTGTGATAGTGTGAGTTTCTCGACCAATCAGCGTGCGAGATTTTCAATAATCACCTGTGTACTTTTACTAATTCTAATTACTGTTGCATTTTCTTTTTTCAGATGAATAACGTCCTAATATCTGTCATTTTTCTGGTAGTCATGGTAATTGGATACCATTCAAGTGCCGCATGGGGTGGAGATTGCATGAAGAAATGTAGTGAAGAATTCAATGCGTGTTTTTCTTCTTGTCAAACACCAGACGATTGTGTTTCATGCTCGTTTAAATCAGAGGAATGTAGAAATGCTTGTAATCGAAAAAGAGACATTGAACGAGATTTTTGGGAAAATATACGAAAGACAAATAGCCAACAAAAATGAATAAAAAATTGAAGGAATTATATAAAACAAATTGGTAAAAGTCTACTATTGTTTTAAATGTTATAAAATTAAAGTATTTTTATGTATATAGCGCCTTGCTATGATTAGAAACAAGCTCATGATCAGCGTTTTATGTAAACCAACGTGGAACTGAGGGATTGATACTGTAGAAAAAGAGACAAGAAAGACCCACATTGCCATGCGAGATAAGGTTTTTACAAATGGAGTAATATATTGATTGTGCAAACGCTTTGTATGAGAGATTCATTGAAAAATAAGTAAAAATTCCTGTGTCGTAGTAGCAGATAACAAGTTGTTTTACGTGGAAATAATATCTTATTTTGTTTTACGCGAAAACAAAAATCTAGCCCTGAGCCCGTGATTATCTATTTGGCTACAAAATACGAAAATTCTTGAGGGGCGGGTTCTTCTGATTTTATTTAGTCGATGACTTTTATCTAAAGTGAGCTGTAGTGTCGTTAGAACCGGAAATGATGATATAAACTTATATATTATTATTTTTCAGGTTTTGAAGTTATATTTTTTCATCAGACGAGAAAGTAAATAAATTGAAATTTCAAAACATACGAGTTGTTTTCATCAATGTGATTCTTTACAATTGTTTATGATTTTTTTCTTACAGAGCTAACTTTTAAAGAACTAGAAAAATAACTTTAAGAAAAGATAAACAATCAAAAGAAGAATCAAAAAAACTACAGAAAATTGCAGAAACAACAAAATAAAGAAAAATACAATGTCGCATAGATCACTCACTTTATTAATATTGAGGTTCGAAAAAACCTTGTAAAATATAGATTTGTATCTATTATTCCATATATGTTGTTCGTGTATCATCGCAAGGGCGGATCCAGGGGGAGGGTCGGGGGGGCTGCGACCCCCCTGTCATTCCTGAGGTCCAATGGGTTTCCTGTGGTAAAAATGCGACCGGTATTCCTTTGCCCACAAAATTTTCCCCATGAGACCTCCCCTTCAAAACAATGGAGGCAGAAATTTGGGAATTCTATACGGGTCAAAATTTTTATGTATCTGTTTTAGTCCCTCAAGAAAGATACTGAGTTGACGAAATCGAAGGGCGACATCTTTAAATAAAATAAAACGACCCAACTGTCACGTGCTGCTGCGATGGCCGAGTGGTTAAGGCGTTGGACTCGAAATCCAATGGGATTTTCCCTCGCAGGTTCGAATCCTGCTCGCAGCGACCAAAACAGTTTTGCAATTTTTTTTTTCTAAAATTTTCTTTTACCAATATTCTTTTTTCCTTTTCCTAGCACTTTTAATGTGTTATATGATAGATTAAGATACAATCCCCAACAATAGTAATCAAAATTAATAAAAGTTTTAACAGCGTAATAAATACATCTAACTATTAAAGATAGATGAGGCCAGCTTACTAGATACTCCGTGCTCACGAGGCCCAGTACAGGCCTAAACAGCTGTCCACGGTTCCTAGTTGAGCTGGATCATTTTTTACGCGATTTGAAGTTGTGTGAAAGGCTTGTATGACACTCTTCTTCAGTAGTTTCATCTAAGGCTCGTAATTTATGCACTAGTCAATTGAAACCCCCACCCCCCGACCCCCGCGAAATACCGGGGAATTTAACATTTGAGTGGTGTTAAAATCAGACATTTTCCCCGGTAGTCGGGGGCACATTCACTGTTAAAACCCCCGCTATTGTGGCCCCGTTATTTTGGTTTAGTAGTCAACAAGAAACACATTTCACGCTAACTCCAAATTCTTGTGCTACACAGAGCCAATTGTTGTGTGTTCCATGCACTAAATATTCAATGCTCATAATTTTCATAAGCTCTGAACCTCAAATCGTGCGAAAACGTTTAGGTTTACGTCTAGTCAGCTGAAAATTTAATGGTATTAAATTGAAAATGAACAATGCTCGTAAATATTGCAAAGCAGTAGTTTTAATAGATTAATCATGATCTGATTCTACATTCGAACTGACCGAAACGACTGAACAAAACCCGCGTATAAGAACCTGGTTTTTTTAAGAACCTGTTAGGCTAAAATTCTCACTTTAAGACCCCTCCACATAAGAACCTATTAAGGCTACAATTTTAAGAAAGGTTCTTATCACTGTGGAGTTCAGCGTAAAAGTGTATAGGTAGAAACTGCTATAAGTTTGTTTGAGCATGTGTTTTGTGTAGAACATACTGCTCTGTACTAGGCTACGGCCTCTGTGCTTGGAATCACAACGCCTTGGTATTTTTTAAGATAGCCGACCTCTTGTTTCCAGGCCCTTACATATTCAAACGAGCGTTAAAATCCCCGCTCGATTCCCCGCTGAGAAAACCATTCGTTAAATCCCCGAACCCCCGGTGCAATCATGCTCTTAAAAGCACATCAAAAACGCGTCACGTCCCCGTTCAGTGGCCCGCTAGCCGCGGGGGTCGGGGGCGGGGGTTTCAATTGACTAGTGCATTACCTATTAAGCATGTTCTTAACTATTAAAAAGCTGATATTAAAAAATGTCAGATGTGCCTTTATAGACTATGATCTCATCAATAAAGATAAACAGTTCAAAAAGCTTTGAGAAAGTAGTGCACCTGAAGAAGTTGTCCAAAAAATGCAGTCTTAAATATGAATAATATATAGAAAAAAGATTGATAAAGCTACGTGAGTTGAATTATTTCAAAAAGATAATATTGCAATCTAAAATCTTGCAAAATAAAATATGAAGTAAGAGAAAAGTAATTGATTGAAGATATAAGAAAATAAAAATGCACCCCCGACGGGATTCGAACCCGCAACCTTCGGCTTAGGAGGCCGACGTCATATCCATTAGACTACAGGGGCAACGCATAACAATTTCTACCAAATTATTCTACTTAAATACGACTTTGTTTTAGTTGTACTCTCTAGAATCTTAATTTTTAGAGTAAACTCAATAATCTAGTGATTTTATTACCTAACTGCTTATAATTACATTAAAAACGTAACTTTTAGGGTTGTAATACACATTTCTTTAAGTAATGGTTTATAAATAGGACTTTACATTAAAAGCGTGTTCACACTCGGCGGTGCAAAGTGAAAAGTTGAATTTCTCGTTTAACTTTCGTCCATTTACGCAATATAAATACCTGTATTTTCATCTGTTGTAACCATGGCGTACTTTAAGGTATCTGACTTACAAACTGTTCAAATGCATTCTGAAAACCTGACCCAAGTCATCGCCACATTTTACCGCCATATTTGACCTTGTACCACAGGAAACCCAAACATATGATCCTCTTGACCTTTATACGTCGTCATTATTATCTCTAAATTAATGTTAGTTTTTTCATACACCTTTCTAGCAAGATAGACAAGAACAACAATAACAAAAATATGGCATGTTGATGCATGAGGGCAAGTGACAAGATTTGCTTTTCAACCACCTGCTACAAGTACAAGTCTAGTTTTACCGGTAAATAGATCCTTATTTTCTCACCATTCAGGTTCACAAATACACCTGAAAAGCACTAGTCTTGAATATATATATATATTACATGTTTAAAAAAAGATTTCTTTGTCATCCCTTTGATAAGGTGTCTTTCTTTTACCAAATGATCATTGTTTTGTTATCTTTCGATATTTTGATTCCAATTCTGTGAGCATTCTTTTAAATAGAAAAGGAACGCAATGTCATGACTGGTGTGACAAACCTGTATTACTTGTTTGTTTCGCCTTCAAATCAATTGGCAACATTTTATATTAAGGTATCATTCGCCGTAGCTAGGATTGGAAAGTGTGGGGACTTAACTGAGGACAAGATCTTGATTTTCACAAGTGCTATATAACACAGCCATGGTAACTTGCGTTTGTGTTTTTCTACGTTATCACTTTTTTGTGAGACTTTACTAATCAGTAAACTTTGGCTGCTTGAGTTTTCAAACGAATAAATGCAGCCTATTTTTACTGAAACCGCCTGTGACCACTTAAGTGCTGTGAGTAATCTGGTAAACCGCTCCGATAGGTGTAAAATAAGCTATTCACGATCATTTTCCAATTGACTTTCAAGAAAGTGTAGCCAGGCAATCGACTACATCTCCTGAGCATTTCATGGATGCTTTGTTGAATGGGAACGTTTCTAAGTTACTACGCTAAAGTAGTATCAGCAACAGATAATGTGCAGTTCTCATTTACCAGTTGTATTAATTGACATTGATACAAGCTTCATTCTACCGACAGACCATTGGAATCATGATCGCAACTCTTACAGGCTTGTGACCTTTAGCAGGTAAGAAACATGCCAAGTTAAAATTTGATTGGCTTTGATTTCAGTGAAAGAAGGAAAGAATATTTGAAAAATCTACTTCTAAATGAACATGGTCGGCGAGCAGCCGTAATCAGAGGTATATATCTCAGTATTTTTCACAAAGCAATATGTCAAAAAGCTGCTCTTAATCATTAGTTATGTTTTCTTTCTCATTCAAGGCGCGAAAAACTGGATTGAGTTGCCTCCATATTTTCAGTATTCCTCATACAGCTAGAGATGGCTAAAGAGCCAAAACCTTCTGAAGACAGTATAGGCTACACATTGCTTGAAAACCAGGATACAGATTCTAATAAAATCATCCATGAAACGTCAAATCTGGTGAATGTTGAAAATAGTGAAGAGATAGAAGAAGAATCAGACCCTGAGCACAAGTTGACTTCAACATGCGAGACCTTTTGGAACATCTGCAACACAATTCAAGGACTGCCCATACTGGCTATCCCATATGCAGTCAAAAACGGCGGATTCTTGGCTCTAATGGTGATGTTTATTATTGCAGTAACTTCAAACTATACAGCTCAGATTATTGTAAGATGTCTTTATGACAAGGGGATTTGTGCTGACAAATCGAAAAGAAAGAGAATTAGAAATTCTTTTGTAGAGATTGGACAAGCTTTTAACTCGCGATTCGGTGGATCCCTGGTTCTAGTTACAGAAATACTACAATTGCTATTCCTCTCTGCTGTATATCCAAGAATGGTCGGACGAATGCTTGCAAACTCTTTTCCAAATGTCGTCAGCATTCCTTGTTGGTTATGGACCATGATTGGAGGCATCGCTTTTGTACCAAATATTTTTCTACAAAATTTATCCCAAGTGGCATGGACGAGTATAATCACTGTCGTTTCTGCTAAGGTCATTTTTGTGGTTGTTTTCACATACAGTGTTTCACAGTACCAAAGATGGGAACTTGCTTCTCTAGGAAACTTTGACATCCATACTTTCCCAGCCGCACTTGGAGTCCTGGTTGCAAGTTACCTTTCTCAGCCATTTGTTCCGATCATCGAAGGGAGCATGCGCAATAAAAAGAAGTTCAACTTAGTGATGAACTTAGCATATTCATCAATGACTTTACTCAACGTTGTTATTGGATTTGTGGCATTCATATCATTTCAACCGAACACCGCTGAAGTCATTACGAACAACCTGCCCGAGGGCTCATTCAGAAGAGTTATCAACATCATGGCGGCTCTCCTAGCCTTCACGTCATATACTCTTCCAATGTTTACCATTTTTGACATCGTACAAACTCAGTCACAACTCCCCTTTCTTCGTGAAAACTTTGGAGCAAAAGTGTGTTGTCCTGATGTTTTAGTATTCAGGACCATTCTCGTTTCGTGTAGTGTTTTAATGGCTGCAGTAATCCCTCGGTTTGCGTATCTGTTAGCTTTAGTTGGGAGTATAGCTGGAATCAGCATGGAGTTTATTTTCCCTCCTCTTTTTCATTCCAAGCTTTATTTTAATGAACTGCACTGGTGGGAATTACTCGTAAATATTCTTATAATAAGCATTGGAACTTTCTTTATGCTTACTGGAGTATTCTTTTCTGGAAAATCGCTTTTTTTATTAAATTGACGAAAAATGCCGGGTGAAGTTTTTCATGTTCAATGAACAACTTGCATAAATCTCTTCACATAGAAACTTTTGATACTAAAAGTTTTCGTAGATTAAGTATATTGCTTTGTAATGGATATAGAATATTTGTAAGTAAAGTTAAGTAAAAAAATTGTAATTGTTTAAATTGCATGGTATAAACTAGTTTTTTCTTGAGCTCGCAAAGTCTGCACAAACTAAATATATCCTCTTTCAAAGAGCGTAATACCAATAAGCACTCGTTAGTAAGCAAAAAAAAAAGCATAAAAACCAAAACTGATGCCAACTACAGGCAAAATGTGTAGATCCTGATCTTAAGATTCTTAAAATTAAAATGCGTGCAAGAAAGAACTCATTAAATTAAACATTAGCGTCGCTGGCTCACCTTTAAATAGCTATGTACATAATTTCGCATGGGGTCCACTGTACAGTTAAAATTCGTGCCATATCTAGTCAAGACGATTTGAAACAAAATCACCATTATTTGTATGAGTACAATTTCGTGCACGTCAACGGGGTTGAAATAAAGCACGAACATCTCATACCCCATATAGTATATCAAGTATATCAATGATAAAATATGTATCTAATTGAGCTGATCTGCGCAGATAAAATATGTAGTAAAATATGATAAAGTATGTATGATAAAATATGTTTTTTAAAGAGTGAATATAAACGGATTTTTCAGTTAGCAGCGTCAACAAAAGCTTAAAAGCATCATCATACTTATACTCTTGTGTCTAATTATGGATCATTTAAGTTATTAATTTCACTGTTACGACGTTGAGGTCTCGACCTAAAGTTATTAGAACCAACAGGTACCTGCTGGCTTACCATATATCGCCTGATACAACGTTCAATCTAAACAAGCCTTCCTATTGGTTCAAGAGCTTTCTAGATATACTGAAAAGCCCTTGAAGTGTTGGCAGTTTAACCACAGTAACCAACACCTGGTAGATTTACGCATGCGCCAAGGGTGAGGAGGTCCCGTCAAAATGATTGTTGTTTCCTTGGTGCCTTGTTGAGGCGACGCGCCTTACCGCTACAGGGCATATGTAAAATCGGAAGCCCAAAAGTTAAAATACAATAACTGTCGAAATCTATTACAGCTAATTTTCTGCGGTTAGTCTACTCTCTTCAAGACACTTGCTTCGCGTTTCAACTAGAAAAGTGTAATAATCGGAAAGGATTGGTTGCAATTTAAAGGACAATATGAAGCCATTCAAATATTTTAAACAACCGAGAACTCAAAATGTCGCTTTGTTTTAAAGTTAAGTCCGCATGGAGGGAGTTCACTACAGTGTTATGTCGAAGAAAATCGTCTTCATGTTCTTCCACGGTCAACGAGGCGATGCACTTAGGAGCAGAACTCGGCACAAACGTACAAAAACGTCTTCTAATGAAAGTAGATGACGCAAAATTAAACTCTCCTAGCAGTTCATTCGAAGCTCACGGTGTGCAGTTCAGCACAAGGAAAGAAATGGATGAGTTTATCTCCAAAATGGAAGCAATGCGGGAAATTTTTGAAAAAGAAATTTCGGAGATAAGCCTTCAACACAAGCGTTTGAGGGCCGGAGGGTATTTATTGAACAGTCGAGTGTTGGAAATGGAAAGAATTATTAAGACAGATAGAAGAAAAGGTTCTATTGGAGGCTTAAAGGCACCGAGTTTTAATGACACATCTTATTACACAAGCCAGGATCTGCAGCTCCTTCAGGAAATGGATAGAGTATATGACATGTTGGACAATTCTCAAGAGGAAATTAGTTCATTGAGAAGACATCTTGATATTGAATTCAAGGAAAGAACTTTGTATCCTGAGCCGACTATGCTACGCTCTACCGCTGTTGAAGATGAATTTTCAAAGAAAATGAAACAAGATGGCGGACTTCATTATCAAAGCAAAGACAAAACAATGCAACGAATAACCTATCAATGTCTACCGCCGCCATTTTCCCTTCAACAGATAAAAACCCAGGTTAAATAGTTAACGTTCTTCGAATGGAGACGTTTCCTTGTGCATGTTTTGCTTCCGTTCATTTAAAGGATTTCGACTTCCGGGTTTTGTAGCAAGAATACGGATTCAATTTCATTTCCTGTTGGTATTCAATTCTGGACTACCCAATAAAAACAGACAACATAAATTAAATCCAATTAACTCGAGAGCCAGCCTACATCCAAAACTTGTCTGTTGGGATGTGGAAGTAAGAAATAATAGGGGAGGGGAGGGAAGGTGTCATTTCTATTCTCGATCCACTACCTTGCTGACGGGTATTTACATTACTCATTCCTGGTGGTGATAACAAAGATCGCAGGCTCAGACGTTCGTGACTCGAAATTATCAAAAATAAATTTAATTTTCGTACAAATTTCATCTTATTCAGACTTTTTATAAATGATTTCATCAATTATTTTTAAGCCAACTAAGTATACAGATTGCTATATATAATCGTAATTTTTCATACCTTTTCTGATTTGTTTGAACGAATATGAGAGACGTAAGATAATACGGGATTCAAACGACAACAATAAGACTTCGCCATCCGAAATCTCAGTGATTTTTGTGGATTGCCTCATGATAAAGCAACTGTTTTGTTAGGTTAGGTTTTGTTTAACTTTTAGGAAAAAGATCAACGTATAACGTCATCTTAATCATATGTACCATTTTTTTAAGTGCCTATAACACCTAACTCAATATTTTTAGTATTTATTGTACAGTTAAGTGAATAGTTGAATGGTAAAACTTTCATATGATTTAAATGATGCAACTGGAAGATATCAAGTGTAATACTTCCAATATGCTAATTAGTGTGACGTCATTATAGGAATTCGAATTTATCTGTCATCATTTGTAAATCAAAACGCTGATTATTATGAGAAAACGAATTTGTAATGAACTTTCTATAAACTCTAAGACAGAGACGATGATGTTTTATACAGGATTTTTTACTGCCCCAGAAAAGCTTTGTAAATTCAATAATGCCAATAATGACATCACATTCATTAACATATTGGAAGTATAAACCTTGATATCTCCAAGATGCATTACTCAAATCATATGAAAGTTTTACCATTCAACTATTCCCTTCATGTAGAATGAAAAATTTTTAAAGTTACGTGTTATAGGCACTTTAAACCGATCAAGAATTTTTTGTAAATGGTGAAGAACATCCCAATAAAAAACCAAACTAACCATACAATATCTATGCAATGAACTTAATCTTTGCCCTTTCATTTTGTAAGATACTAAGATATATGATAAAATACAGGAAGAATGGAAAGTGAGGGACCTCTCCCCCCAAAAAAACACTGACACACTCACACTTCCAGTATTCTAAATATTAGCCTTCTTTGCAGATTCTATTTTATTGATTTGGCAAGATCACCGAGCGTAAATCATCGCATCTGCAAAGCAGGCTATTTAAATACTTAATTTTAAAATACCCCTCACCTTCCCTTTTTAAAGGATGCTCTGCGAAATACAGAAACCTTGAAAAGGGGGGACCCCTTCCCAAAATCACGCCCATGCAGCCATGTACACTTATAGTATTCTAAATATTGCATGTGTTTAAAAAACCCTCCCCTCCAATAGTCATCTTTACACTTCCTTGCACCATCTTGAAAGGTAGACGTGCCTTTGCATTAAAGCGAGACAAACGAAGAGCTTGCAAAGATAGAGACCTTTTTTTTAACACCTTGAACAATTATTCACGACTCTATCATTGCAAGCTCACTGTTTGTCTCACTTTGATCCACTGCTACTATTCAGGATGGCACAGGTAACTGTGAAGGAGTCTATTTCAAGGGGTGCCTTACASTTGTTATAATAAGCCTTGTTAATGTTTATAAGCAGTACCTGAATGTTTCACTTATTCATAGTTTTGTTTCATGATCTTGAATTCCTTCCTGGCATCTTCCAGCAGCTGAGGTTCACAGAACACATCCAAGGCTGTCCTTGCGATGGCCTTAGCAGCCTTCAGTGTTTTTTTGTGTGCTACTTGGGTTTCTGCACTCACTCGAAACTCATGAGAATGGTAAGGTATCCCTTCTTCTATGCAATAAAGAGGGTGGATTCCTGGCACCTCTAAACTTACATTCCCCATGTCAGTAGATCCATCGATAACTGATTCTTGTTCTTCTCGGCTCATGAACGTTTCTCCTAAAGATTCTGCATGCTTCTGGTAAAGATTCGCCAGTACACTGTTGGTTTCTATGGCAGCAAAGGAGTTAGGAAGCCAGTTGATGTCAACAGTACAACCAGTAGCCAATGCAGCTCCTTCAAAACAAGCTTGGATTTTAGTTTTAAATACATCAGCATCTCTGTTAGTAGTGGTGCGGATGTAGTACTGGAGCTGTGCTCGATCTGGGATCACATTGGGTTTCTTGCCAGCATCAGTAAATATCCCATGAACAGACCATGTTGGCTTGATCTGCTGACGAAGAACACTGATGTTGTTGTAAGCGAGGACTGCAGCATCCAGTGCGTTAATAGCTTTGTGTGATACACCAACGGCGTGTGTAGACTTGCCATGATATGTAACAATCACCTCAGTCCTCGTTTGACACTTGTAAAATGCTACATTAAAAGGCGCAGGGTGGAGCATGAGACAAAAATCTACGTCCTTGAAACACCCCGCTCTAATCATGTCAATTTTCCCTCCATTTCCTTCCTCAGCTGGCGTTCCCATGACAACCACTCTACCTAGAGAGGATCCCTCAAGAGCCTCCTTAATTCCTAGACCGGCTGCAATACCTGACTCGGCGATCAAATTGTGTCCACATCCATGTCCAATTTCGGGTAAAGCATCGTATTCACACAGTATAGCTACAGTAGGACCATTATTTGAGCCACTTTCAGCCTTAAATCCAGTCTTTAAGCCATAATGACGCTCCACTTTGAATCTCTTTGACTCGAGGTAAGTAGTGAGCAATTCGTGAGCGTGATGCTCTTCGTAAGCCAATTCTGGTTTTTGCCAGATTTTGTGGCTGAGCTCGAAAAGTTCAGTAGAATATGAATCTATAATGTTGTCTGAACGCTTTTGTAAATCACTAGCCTTGGAAGCCATAGTTCTATTACATGTAAAAAGCGCTAGAAGCCCTGGACTTACTGGAACGACAAGCCACTGCCACGTGACGTCTGGTCACGCAATGCAAATGTATCCACAGGAAATCCAATGTCTTTTCCCCTCGAAAATATATCAAGATCAACACAAGAAATAGAATAATCTACAAGTTAAGTTTTTATTAAAAGAATATGAGCTTAAAATGAAAAGTACTACAGAACTACAGAAAAGGCTATATAGCTACGTGAATATTCCAGGTATCCTATAAAACGGAGTTTTAGACACAGGTAGCCCAGGCTTACCGCCGTTAGTGTTAGCCTGTGTAGCCAGGCGTTCCTTGTGGGTTTTGGGGGACTTGGGGAGGAGAGAAGAGGAGAGAGGGAACGCCTGCAAGCAGACCTTATGATTTTGAAAAACCCGTTTCATTTGATTTTAATTATTTTAAAGCGTAAAAATTAGGATTCAAAAATACCCATATGATACCCATATAATCTTTGTCTGTCTGTCTGTCTCTCGACCGATCGATTCAGTTATTCAACATTAACGGTAAGCCTGGGCTACCTGTGGTTTTAGAGACCCTTTAGAGAACGTAACGCCGCAAAGCTTGATTACATACCAGCGTGCATATAAATTAACACGTAATTGTTATTCATAATAGAAAAAATTGTTCTCACAAATCGACTCATGCACAAGTTTTATGGGCTTCTTCTTGTTCGTTCTAATCGATATGCGGGGCGAATTTTGATACTTCAAAAGGCTCTAACTCGATTTGTCCATTATGGACTCCTCTTACGAGTACTGCCGACTGAATGATTTGTCAGAAGTCGAAAAAGAGGTGACGGAAGTCGAAGAAGATCCAAAATACTCGTATAAGATTACAAACCTGGATGCATTCTGGAACACGTGTAGCTCGATTCAAGGTCTTGGCGTTCTTAGTATGCCACTTGCAGCTAGCTACGGTGGATGGTGGTTCATTATAAGCACTATTGCTGTTGCATTGATATCTAATTACACGGCGAAGATCTTAGTGCGATGTCTGTATAGACAGCACCCCATACTAGGATACACACGAGTGAGAAAGACGTATGCTGATGTTGGACAAGCCGTCTGGCCAACCTATGGCCAATACATGGTCCTCGTTGCCAAATTCCTGGAGTTACTCTTCCAAGCGGCATCGAACCCCATTGCGTGCGGGGAAGCGCTACATTTTCTCTGCCCAAGTATTCCCGTCAGCACAAGGACTTGGATCCTAATTTTTGGCCTTGCAATGATACCGAATATTTGTTTGAATTCAGTGATCCTGTTGTCCAAGATAAGCATGGTGACGATTGTTCTTGGGTTCGGTACTTTTGGTACAGTTATTGGCTACAGTGTCTATCAGGTGCCATCGTGGGATATCAAAGACCTTCTTGTCTTCCAACCCGAGAAGTTCCCAATATCGCTTGGCTTGTTAGTCGCAAGTTATTCTGCACAAATCTTTTTGGTTGTCCTTGAAGGAAGCATGAGAACTCCAGAGAAATTCAACAAAGTTCTCAATTCTGGGTACGTCTTTATGACGCTCCTCAAAATTGCTCTGGGAGTTTTTGGATTTTTGACGTTCGGTCGTAACGTCAACGAAGTGGTAACGAACAACTTGCCGACATATTTCCTCGTCCCGATCAACACCATCGTCATTTTCCTAGCATTCACCGGGTATTCGTTACCGATGTTCGCGGTGTTCGACATGATGGAGAGCTCAGCCAGAAGCTTTTTGGGCAAACGTTGCCTGGATGAATATGGACAACGCCCAAACACCTTCTGCAAGTACCTAATACGCATCAACCTTGTTGGGATTACTATCGTCCTCGCAACTACGATACCCCACTTCTCTCTTATCCTGGCTTTCATTGGGAGTCTGAGCTGCACCTCACTTGCTCTTATCTTTCCCTGTCTTTTCTACATCAAGTTACACTGGGATGAAATAACTTGGTACGAGTTAGTGCTCGATGCTGTTATCGTTGTGTTTGGGTTATTGATAGCTGTATCTGGCCTGACCTACTCTACTATTGACTTGCTGGATGTTCTATCTAAAAACTGACCATGAAGTAAGAATTCATTGTTTTTGCTAACAAAATATACCGTCAAAGACCTACCTCGGCTACAAACGCGATGCTTCGTATTAGTCTCGCTCGTTGTGTTCTATTACTGGATTAAATATTTTGAAGGGTTTCTCGAATTTAAGTGAACAATTTAAAAGTGGTCACATTTGCCTGTTGCAATATGCCGTTGCATGATGAAGCCATTTCACTCTACCACTACCAAAATGCGTCGCGAATTTTCGTTCTTATTTAAATTTGTATTTCCTCATGAGAATATAGTAAGACAATTAACTGAAAAAAAGAAAGTGTGCAAAGTATTGTGGTAGTGGCAGTAAATGACGCTATAATACAAATGAACTATTCATTAAATTTCCTGGCTCGTCAAGTTTTTGCGCATTAATTATTATTCGTGTGCAACATCAGAATAACACCACCAGACGTGTTGCTAACGTTACACCTCCCTAGCCTACATAGCGGCCCGGTGGGTTTTGCGACACCCATTCCTTTTAGGCCGCTGACGCAGGCTACCCCTCCCGGCTACGTAACAGAAGGAAAAAATATTAATATCATATGTTTAATCTATATGATTATTAGTTTGTTTAGTAAAGAGTGAAAGTTGTATTAATAGACAAAGATATTTTCATGATCAATGATCAATACTTCTGTTATAGCATCTGTGTTTAAAAATAAGGCTTAATTCAGTAACATAAATATGATCGACTAAACTGAAACTGAAGTAGGATCCATGTTATTTTGGGTAAGGCCTAGGAGAAAGGTTTCATTATATCTGTATTCCCAATGGGCTCCGTCAAGAAACGACGAATTGGACACATTTGATTATTTAAAGACCTCCATATACAGTGCGACTACATTAACCAAAGCCACCCAAATGAATTTGAAATCAAATTCACAAATCGCGTTTTTGATGCTGAATATAGTAGGATGGTGGCGAATTCTGGAATGTTCACTCCTGATCATACACACACACGTATAAAGAAAAACCTATGCTTTTGAAGGGACAATGTTCAAAATTGTACAGATTCTATTGTTTGAATACTCGATCGTGATTGGCTAATTTGTACGCAAATTTGTATAGGTGGCCTTGGTTGTGTAGTCGCACTGTTATAGTATCAGTATTGCTTTTACACAAAGTTAAAAAATACATTGTAAAATATTTGTTGCTTTGAATGTTGAAGGTTTATACTTGTCAAGGACTGTGAAAGCACGTAATGCATTTGAGTGTATTTGTTGTGACATATTCAATGCAGTGGAATGGTTTGGAAACCTATTGCTCTATTAACTATGGTTGTAACTAGTAACACTAAATGTTGGCCATTATGAGAAAACAAATTTAAAATAACCTTCATGGTAAGCCATGAGTAAAATGATAATTTCAAATACAGTTTCTGCAAACCAGTTAAATGTTCGCATAGTTATTAATGAAGCCTTGCATGGCGTCACAGTCATTAACATATCCGAAGTATAAAACTCTCAAATCAAGAAGTATTTCTTAATTTAACAATTCCCTTGAAAATATTGAATTAGCGAATCAATGCAGTTTAAATGAGAATGCTTTTTCTTGTAATCCGTCACTTGATGATGGAGATCAAAAATGGGAAACAGAATGAATTCAGGCTGTGAAACTGGGCAAAAAACTAACAAGAAAATCCTTAACCATCTCATAACAATATACAACATTGTGCAGATTTAATTAGCCATTCCGAGGATAAGGAAAACACTGGGTCAAGTTAGCAGTGCAGTGCATTTTGGGACTGTCTTAGGGGATATATTTCCAAGATGGCAGCTCCAAAACAGCCCCGCAATGCACTACGATGCCAACCCAATCCAGTTTTTCCCAACCTTTAAATGGCTAATAAACGATAAATCGTTTGTCTTTTCACCTTAGTGAGGCGCGCATTTTGCGCTCGCGTCATCTTGAAACTAATTATTTAGATTTATCTCTCGAGCAACAAAAGAAAATATTTATCTTTTATCTCAATCGTAAATAAAAAAAAGCTTGGAAATAGAAATATTTCTCAGGAGCTTATGCTGATCATCTAGCGAGGAACTGTGCGCATTATGCATATATAAATATGCTTCCTGAAATATGAAAGTAAAATGGCTCCTTTTAGTTCTTACCGAAAGGTTACTAAAAAAATAAACATTCCGGAAGTGAGGTACGTACCGGAAGTGACCGTGGATTACGCCGGAAGTAAAGTGAATACCGGAAGTGATTTATGTCTTGAAGCAAAATAATTTTTTATAAAATTAATCGAATCTTAGAGGAAATATCTTCACTACATTTCGATGATCAAAGATAAGTCATCTCTTTATTATCAGGTGGTTTTAAAAGTTCTTCGTAATCTGGTGGATCCCTTGCCTGCCCGCACGGATGCTGCAATAATTCCTGGCCTTGGCCCGAGATCGGACGAACCTTGTGGAACTCGATAAGATCATTCAATGTGGGATGTGCAATTTGATTGTGTCCAAAGAACTGGTAGGTATTCTCGCTGGTGTCGATCAGGTAGTGCTTGCAGCGTTCCTGGGAACGATAAGAGATTGTATATCCCCACACACGTTCGCTAACACGAACCAAGAATGAACCTACCGGCTTGTCCAGCAGAATTTCTTCTGCTTCTTGTCGAGACACAATACCTGTAAGCAGAGGATAGAATTTCAATCATGAATAGCCTAATTAGCAATTAGTCCTCAAGCCCGAATGGGATATATGACTCATAGGCCATGAGGGCAAGAGGACTAATTGTTTTAGTCTAATCCAACTAGTGGGTCAAATATATAGATGCAAACCAGTTTTGAATTAAAGTTAAAATTGATATTTTGGTTACCAAAGCCGGCACTTTTTGTTGCTAGGTAGGACTGATATAGCTTATCCTAGCCTAGTAGTAGCTCATCCAATTGGAACGCAGCATTGATGATAGACCACTAGTTGGATTTGACTAAAAAATATTATCTATAGTAACCTGGTAAATGAGCATCTGAAAAAAGGATGCAATACAGGAACCATGGCAAAAGAAGACCCCACATGTTTGGCAAACTCGAGAAATAAAATAGGGAAAATTCAAGCTCAACCCAAATTCGACTGGAAATATGTATTAGTCAGTCTTGCACAAATGTTGTTAAAACACCATCCTCCAATTCTCTTGGTTGTGCTGTGTTATGACGGCGATGTACTAAGACGAACACTTATCTCGCGCTATGTAACTGGTTGCCTATTTCCATAACGTGATAACTTTAAACTTATCACAACTTTATAGCATGAAAATCTCAAGCACAGCAACAATCTTCTATAATACCCTAGGGTAGCGAGAGTCCAAAAGTTGGAGGACCAAGCGCGCGCGATTTGGCGCGAACGGTAGTTCCCGCCAAAACCAAAGGAATCCCAACACAATTTATCGTTAAGATCTGGCAACTTACTTACCATGAAAGTAAGGCAAAACCGAATCCCCCACATAACACGCTCTCTTTGGAAACTCTTCTTCTCGGAACCATTCAATAACATCGACTCGTGATCTTGGCTTTCTGTTTCTCTGGGGTCGTTCTGGTCTATCACCGGATTGGATAGGAAGTGTTGCAGCATTCAATGATACTCGACGAGGAGGAGGAGGACGAGGTGGTGGAGATGTAGATCGAGTCTTAGCCAGGGCAGGCCTGGGGGAAAAAATTTTTGGGAAATGATTTTTTTTGTGTGTTATATCTGACATTTCACGTGACGTCACAGCCGCCATATTGGTGTACCTTGGACAATAATTTTGTTTTTAGTAACTTTTGTTAGGTACACCAATATGGCTGCCATCTCTATTGTCAGACATGACGCCACAGCCGCCATATTGGTGTACCTTGGACAATAACTTTGTTTTTAGTAACTTTTATTGGGTACACCAATATGGCTGCCATCTCTATTGTCAGTCAACTCACTCCAGGGCTAAGCCAGTGCAGATGAGTCTACAGTCATAAGATACAGCGGCATTTACATAATCATAAGAATGAATTTGAGTGAATACACGAACACGAAGTAATTGAGTCTTACTTGTTTGGGATTGGTGGCGGTGGATGGTTAGGTACCGGCGGTGGTGCTCGATTTGGTTTCATGGATATCGAACCACGATGAGTAGAAAGAGTCGGAGAAGGCGTAGGAGGAGCTTCTATTGTTATTGTTTTTCCCAACGTATTTCTCCTCTTCGCCGCTATAATTCGTTCTCTTAACACCTCCCGACGAGCCAAACTAACGGAGTTTCTTCTTTCTTTCTCTGCTTCTTTAGCTTTTAATTCGCTAACCTTCCACGCTTCGTCAACCTTCTTTTGTTCCTCTTCTTCCTTCTTTTTGTCTTCTTCTCGTACTGTTTTAAGACTGAGGTAGATCTCCTGTGCTCTTCGTTTCTCCTGTTGAACCAATTCTTCTTCCCGCTTCTGTTTTTCCGCTAACCGCTGTTCCCGTAATCTTTTAAGTTCCTCTCTTCGTTGTCTATCTTTTTCTCTTCTTTCTTCTTCTAATTTTCGTTGTTCTTCTAAGATTCGCCGCTCTTCTTCTATCTGCTTTAGCCTGGCTTCCTGTAAACACGCAAACAAAAATCAGTACGACCGATCCCAGTATTTACTCCTAGATTTTTCTTGTTAAATGGTTGACCAACCCTTTACTGACTCCCCCCTTATTGTTTTAGTCTCATTGCATCTAAAACATATCCAAGCTCTATCCAAGCACTGTGGTCATGTAAGTTCAAAAGTGTGATGCAGTGATAATGAACTAGCCTCTCATCTTTATAGGGTTTCGGTTGGATACCTAGACTGATGAGTGAAGTTTGTCTCTCCCCTGATTGAAGGGGTTTTAACTTTGTTATTTGATTTTCCTCCCTCCACAGCCCTGCAGAGGTTGTTTCAGGGTTCGGTCTATGAGTTTTGCCGTGCCCTAACTTTGATCAGCCCAGAGCTTGTTATAGGATTCGGTCTGTGAGTTAGCCGTGCCCTAACTTTGATCAGCCCAGACGTTGTTTTATGGTTTGATCAGTGACTGTTGAACAGCCCCGCCAGAGGTTGTTTCAGAGTTCAATCTGTGAGTTAGCCGTGCCCCGACATAGTTCAACCAGTAGATTCAAGGTTTAATAAAACTGTACATTAACAATAGCTGGTGTGTTTAATGCTCAATCAACATAACCATTCCACTTACCTCCTCTCGTCTCCTTTTTTCTTCCTTTTCCCGTTGAAGTCGTTCTTCCTCTTCCTTCTCCCTCCTGAGTCTGTCTTCTTTTTCCTGCTGCAGTCTCCTCTCTTCTTCTTCTTTCTGCCGAGCAAGTTCTTCCGCTTTCTTCATTTCTTCATATTTTCGGAGTTCTTCTTTTCTTTGAGCTTCCAATTTCCGCATTTCTTCTTCCTGTCTTTTCTTTTCTAATTCTTTGAGATGTTCTCGTCGCTTTTCCTCCGCTTTTCTCTCGGCTTCTCTTTTTCTCTAAAATACAGAAAAAGCGGAAAACAGATGAACGAAATTCACTGGTTATTTTGTACCTCTAAAACAGATTATCGGGAGCACTGGTATGTTCAAAGTGTGCGCCACATCTTGTAAGCCAATCATAGTACACTATTCATATATTCGCCCTTATTACCATAACGCAATCGTCAGGGGGGAATCAAGGATAGCGTATCGCTAGTGCACTCGCCTCTCGGGTAAAGTGTTCAATTCCTATGCTTGGCATCACATATGAAGAGAGTTTTTTAGATCTCTCTTTTGATTCGAGGGCCTTTTCTCTGGTTTCTAGGGTTTTCCTTCCTCCGCAAAACCTAACAAGCTAAATTCCAATTCAATCTGTGAATAGCTGTGCCCTGACTTAGTTCAGCCCAGAGGTTGTTTCAGGGTATCAATAATACCATAACATGCCATGCACGTAATTCACAATTATCAAACCAATCAGATTTTAGTATTAGTATATGTAATAGGACTCCATGCTGCCCGATTAAGAAATAATTGGACGAGAAAAATTCCGAGGACTGACAAAATTGGATGATGCCGTAGGCCGAGTCAAATTTGGCAGTCTGAGGAATATTTCGAGTCTAATTATTTCTTGATTGGGGAGCATGAAATCCCATTACCTATTAATTATATAGTTGCCTAATTAATTCCATATCAACAAGACCTGTCCAATTAAGAAAATAATTGGACAGTTACCTATATGGGATTAATGAGAAGCTGTATAATTACAAAGCATTATACCCCTACCTCTTCTAATTTTCGCATCCTCTCTTCCATCTCTGCTTTGGCTTTAGCCGCTTTTTCTTCTTCTGCTTTTCGTCGGGCTTCTTGTTCTCGTTTTCGTTCCTCCTCCAATTTACGTCTCTCTTCTCGCTTCTTTCTTTCAGCTTGTCTCTTTTCTTCCTCTAATCTTTTTTTATCCTCAGCAGCTTTAATGGCTAACTGTCTTGCTTCCTGCATTACAAGACAACATTTGAAAAGGCAATCAATCAATCAACTACTTGGTCTGTCAATCCATCGGTCAGTTCACTGTCAATCAGTTGGTTTTCAATCTTTTGGTCAGTCAACTGTCAATTACTGTCAACACTTAATCAGTTGCCAATTAGTCATTCAGTTAGCTGTCAATTAGTCAGCTGTCAATCACTTGGTCAGTACGCTGTCAATCAGTTGGTCATTAGGATTTCAATCAGTTAGTCAGTCAGTCAGACAGTCAGACAATCATTCCTTCAGTAAGCTGTCAATCGGTCAGTCAGTGAGTGGTTAATCAGTCATTCAATAGCAATACTTCATTATTACGAGCAATGATGATGTTAATTAATTTGCCAAGCCAACCATTTTCACAAAAGCTTGTCACAAGTTGCTTTGTGTCACTAGCCAATTAAACTCTGGTTTGTACATGAATAACAAAGGTTTTTGTTACATGAAGTATTGCTATCAATTAATCAATTAAACATAAAAAAAAGTAACCAATAAAATATCAACTAACCTCTTGTAGTTTCTTCATTTTTGCTTCTTTTTCGGCTCCCTCTCTCTCGAGTCGTTCTTGTTCTTCTTTAAGCCTTCGTTCCTCTTCTTCCAACCTTTCTTGTTCTTTTCTCAGTAGTTCTTCTGCTTCTTTGTGAGCTTGTTCCATAGCTTTCTGCTCTGCAAGTTGATCCTCTCTCATCTCTTGTTCTGTAACATATCAATCAAATCATGACATTCTTGAGTACCTTTAGTAACAACACTAAAAATACCAGACACAATCACAAGATAAATAGCAACAGTAATAAAAAAAACTACTTAATTTGGTAGGGTAACTTGAATTACACGAAGTAATTTTCATCTAGGACCTTTTTAGATCAAATTAGAATTTAGAAGTTAAATTTTCAAGAGGGAAAAAATATCAGAGGATCCAGAGAAGAACCCTAGAAGCACAGGAGAGAACCAACAAACAACTCTACTCATCTACGACGAGTCCAAGAATCAAACCCGGGTCGCATTTGTGAGAGATGAGTGCTCTCACTGCTATGCCACCCATGCTTCCCATAAAAGCAGTAGAGACAACAAAAGTAGCTACAATAAAGACATCAGCAACAGCAGCAAGGGCACTAGTTGCAGCAAAAACAAAAGTTACAGCAACCCAAGCCAACAACAGCTGAAAGAACCGCAAATGCAGCAATTTAATGACAAAGCTGTGACTAGCAGCAGAAACAATAACCATAGCAGGTACATCAGAAGTGGCAACAATGACAGCAACAGCCACTAACACAGCAGCAAAGTACTGATACAGTATACACCTATTTAAAAATTGTTGTAGGTTGAAGATCTGAAATGGGCAATCCTAGAATAAACAGAATTTTTGTTTATGTTTTCTGGCTAAAATCTGAAAAAAATCCCATTTCTAACTCTGAGATTGTGCTTTATATTCAAATCTAGAAAGAAACTATGTTGTTCAGCTGTGAATACAGTCAATTAAAAAAATGTCGTCGACCAACTCAAGCCTACGYAACTGGACCGAAAGGAACTCTGGGTAGTAATCATTGAAGCCGAGTTGACTCCATTATTTTATTTGACTAGTTATGCCTGGTTTACAGCGTGAACCTTCGTAGGCGAGTAGGAAGTGTTGAAGGAGATGTTTTTTTAATGCCTTCACATTTTCGAAATTGTGAACTGAATTATAACTACTTTGTTTTTCTTTTCCTAAACCCAAAGACATGCATTGATGGATTGTTTCTCGCCATTATTATTTTATTACTAGCGGGAACAAATAATTCAGAACAAATATTTAACTGCTTCAGTGATTTTTACCCATATTCCTTTTGGTCCAGTCGCTTAGGCTTGAGCTGGTCGATGACGACGTTTTTTGAATTGACTGTATATTACAATTTGTGGCATGTTACTCGATCTCAGATTTCATAATTCAGATCTCCAAACCAACGACGTATTTTTGAAATAGGTGTATTCATATTCAATTACAGGTACATAGGTTAAATTTTTTGCTTACCTTTTCGTATTTTTTCCAAATCTATGTCATCTTCCATGACCCACACCCATGGATTGCCATCTTTTGCCATCAAATAATGGACACTCTTAGCATGGGCTGGAAGACAAAACATGTAATGATATCACCACCATTACTATAACACACACAAACAGACTAAGATTGAACTAACAGCTAACAAACAAACAAAGGGATAGTCACACACAAAGATTTCAGTGCCAGGCTTTATACATAATGCTCTGTGATTCATAAAAGGAGAAAGGAGGAAATTTAATTTCACATATAGCCTCTTACTAAAACCTTTGTGTGTGACAAGTGAAGCATATCTCACAAGTGGACTATTCGATACTTTTTGCTCCTTTATGAAAATGACATATAGGAAAAGCAAACTTAGTCTCCTCCACAGTCGTCATTAGGTTTAGGCTGCATTCATAATGTATGGCGGGGGGGGGGGGGGG